TATTCTCCAATCGACTAGCTGTAAGGTAGCCTATTCATATCCTGTAAGGACGATCGAAACTGAACATTAATATAAAGTTGCTTTATTATTATTTGTTGGTATCCTGATTGTATGTAGGCTATTTTTTACGTTTTGTAGTAGATTTACATCACATTTGTCCTCATAAATATAACATTTTGAATTAAACTTGTATTTCGAGTCATAGGCTGTATTTATCACACGAGCGCTCTGACCTACAGCACGATTGCCAGTTTGACAAAGCTTTTCTAATACAACAGATCGTTAAACAAGAAGATAATATAAAGTACCTTACCTTATATTGACGGTTACTTTATCAAATTTTTTTTCTCCGTCAACAAAAACAGTTTCAAACGAATCCACCGCCAAATTAACTGTTGCGTGTGAGAGTCTCTTAGCAACACTCAGCAGTGGTTTCTGAATGAATCATTGTTTTGAAGAATGAATGATTCTGATAAGAGTGAAAACTATTGAAAACACCACTAATCCACAGACCGACATTCTGGGCCTCTTAACAACAATAAAATTAACTTCTTTTGATGCTTTTGATTTTTTTTGAGCTTATATGATGTGAATACAAAAGTGTTTCAGTGAATGCCTCAACTTCTAGGTAATTTTGGAGACATTGTTGAGGTTCAACACTAATTGTCCATTGGCGCTCATAATACGGTATTTTTGAAACAGCCCTCAATGTCTCCATAATGATGGAATAGAAAATGGACTCTTCTCATTCCGAGCACATAATGTTCTCTTCTTCAGTTTCTGCAAATATGAAATATTGCTCTTCTCAGTAACTTTGATAGGCCTAAATCACAGAGGATGGCCTGCTAATCTCTCCTCTATAGGCATCCGATCCATGATGCCATATGGGCTGCTGTCAAGATCTTGGACATCCTGGTGATGGCAACACTTGTTCCCACAGGACACAGCTAATAGAAATGTTATCAGTATTGCACTCATAATTTGATGGAAGATGGACGATGACAGTTACAGATTAAAATCAAATGGATTTGATGACTCTCGAGGCACACCGAAACTTTCATAATTTTGAACTTGAAAGAATAAAAGAAAGTTTGGCAGGTTTTGACAGTGACCTTCTGAAATGTGTTTACTCTCTGACGTTAATGTGGAGAAACAATCTCAGCAGCTGAGCTTGAAAGGAAACTTGGAGTGAAAAAAGATTATATTGCTCAACCATGAAATGTGAACTGAGAGGTGTTTTCTTGGGTAGGACAGGATACAAGGTGATTTAACTCCCCAACTATTTCCCCACCGGCATTAAACATCTTTATAGCAGTTTTTGTTCTGCATGATGATTGTTTCTGGGCTGACACAACAGCACAGAGATTTTTCAGTAAATACAGTGACTAGGAAGAATATTCTGTTCTGGCTTTTAGATTTTTTTTTTCTTTTAGTATTCATAGCTCCATATTCACATACTGTTCATGCTTCTGATCAAACCTTGGCTTGAAAGGAGCAGTATCAGCTGTCAGTGTAAATAATGCATGCCCTGTGTGAGACGGGGACAAGCAGTTGTGTGGGTGATGTAAGTCCAGTTATCCTGGGCCCGGTTGCATGAAAGTCCTTAAGTAACTTGACTTTCCTGAGGGGGAAAAAATCCCTAAGGTAAGGGATTTCTTTAAGAGCGTTGCAACAAACATCTTAACTGTCTGTCACTCTTACCTAAGTGTTTATACCAAGCGTTTCATGGTAGTTCCTGGCAACATACGGCAATGGCGCCGCGGTTGCTATAGTTACTACATCTCACAATAAACATAGATGTGTATATCTCTGACAATAAACAGAACATAACCAAATGCAAACCTAACCAACTAAAACACGAACAAATAAACGAGCGCTGCCCGTTTCTGCGCTGCTTTGTATATAGTCGTGACCGAGGAAACCGCTTTTTTTCTAAAGTGAAAGCGCCTCCTGCTGACCAATGAAGGAAAATTTACCAAATGTGAAAATTAACCCATGTTTTGACCATAGACTGTATAAAAGCATGGACGTAGTGTCCGTGACGTCACCCGTAGGGTTTCAAAGAGAGTTTTTGAAGCTCAAAAGTGGGCGGAGGCGGCCGTCGCCATCTTGGCAGCACGTCCCCGCGCGTCACTCCCGGATAATCGAAGATGGGCAAAGAGGCGGGACCTGGTTGTTGAAACCACGCCCACCTAGCTCGACGGTGGTGACAGCAGCGGCAATCCACCTGTCACTCAAGTGGCCACGCCCTTAATTATGCAGAACTTTAAGGCTTAATATAATTTAAACGGATGAGTTCAAAAAAAATTCACCCCCCTCACGGTTGTCATGAAGGGCAAAATTAGCTATATAGACCAAAATAATTTTTTGAACCAGGCTGTAAACATGTTTTTTCTGCTGTAAAGTTGGGCATTTTAACATGGGGAGTCTATGGGATTGACTCCCTTTTGCAGCCAGCCTCTAGCGGCCAGTCGATGAATTACAGTTTAAGTCACTTCCTTGTTGGCTTCACAGAGAGAGAGCGGGAGGTTGCCGCTTGGTTTTGACGCTGCAAACACGCAGAGTTGTAAATGTGAACAGCTGGATCGACAAGAAGATAATGCATTATAAATATCTAAACAATTAAGACATACATTACATTTGTATTATTATTTAATTAATGTAATGATTAATAATAATTGTTTCAATTAATATAATAATTGATTCAAAAAAATTATATAAAACTTTTTGTTTTGTAAAAACCTGTAAGTCATGCTTTTTACAGTCATTTTACAGTTTAATATGTTACCATAGTCATTGCCCTACCACACTCATATGATATTTTATTTGTGCAGGTCTTAAAAAATGTCTTAAGTCTTACATTTGAGCTTAAAAATCCTGCAGATACTGAGTTTAAGATTACTTAGGGGAGCTGTTTTGGTCCCTTAAATTTATCAAGGTGAAATAGTTACTAAGGACTTTGTAGTAACGCTTAAGGGAACACTTAGATAATTAAGGGCAATACTTAATGACAGCCTTAAGGTTCCTTAAGTTGACCCTTAGGATTTTTCTTGCAACCCAAGTTTCACTAAGGGTTCCCTTAACCTTATAACTAAGGGATTTCTTAACTTAAGGACTTTCATGCAACCAGGCCCTGGTCATAAAGGAATACTTGACCTAAAAATGCTAACTTGCTGAAGATTTACTCACCCTCAGGCCATCCAAGATACAGATGAGTTTGTTTCTTCAGCAAAACAGATTTGGAGAAAGGTAGCATTACATCACTTGCTCACCAATGGATCCTCTGCAGTGAATGGGTGCCGTCAGAATGAGCTGATAAAAATATAAAAATAATCCAAATAATCCACAAGTAATCAACAAGATACAGGTTTATAATAAACTAATTCAAAATTAAGACATTGTTAACTTTGTTAACTTCTCCTTTATCAATAATATTGCTTTCTCCAGTGAAAAAGTAATATCTTCTGAATCAGGAGAGAAATATGCACAGATCAAGCACCATTGTGAAAACAGTCCAGAATAGTTCTAAACAAATATTTCTGTGGATTTTGATGTGAACAGACAACAGGAGATGGACTTTTTCCACTGGAACAAGCATTGTTATGACTTATTAAGCTTCCAGCAAAATCGCGAAAAATATCGGCCTCTGATATATCGCATATTTGTCATGGGAGGAGGGTAGACAGCCAGTATTGAGCTCCACTGTCTAATTGAGCGTGATGTGAGGTGAAAGCGCAGACAGTTTGTTATCTTTACCGCTGCACGAGCGCAGGCATTGCCTCCTCTGCACATCAGACGTGTAAAAACGATTTCTCACCGAGATTGACATTAAATTTCATTCACCGTAAAATACATGGCAGCCATGTCAGAGACCGTGCCAACATTCACCTCTTCATGACAGGAGATAAGAGGGCTTTCGCTTGAATCTCATATTTAAGGCATTTGGTTTAGAGTATTTTTGTAAGTCTTCGCAGTTTACAGAGCTCTATTAAAAGGATTAGTCTGAAACGGTCTCCTCTATTTTTATGCCTGCTCAGGGTGGACCGACTCTGAGCTGCGATGGCGGTGTGTCAGATGGACTGGTCACACAGAATGACACTTTTCATGTGACAGTGTATGAAAGAACATGATGATGGGTCTTAAGTGGCTGTCAGGCGGATTGGCCTCACTGTCAGTACACGCGCATGTGGTTCCCTTTCATGGGAACTTCGGACTGCGTCCTCTAGGGGTCGCTATGGGGGAACGCCTCGTCGTGACCCGTGTCTGAAGCATACATTGAAAAAACACCAACTCGTTGGCCAGCGACAGCCATGACGTCACTACCGGTGCGACTATAGTATAAATAGGCGCCGGGAGCACACATCATTCTCTTCTTCGTCTTCATTGACTGTTTTATTTGAAGCGTGCATTTCTGTGGTAAGAGCGATCTCTATTTATCTCATTATGGCGAGCACTAGCAAAGCATTTAAGGATGTGTGCATCCGTGTTGACGTTGTTTAACATCTGATGACACACACGATCTATGCATTGTTTTGTTTGGGCAAAGAGCACGCACGCGATGTCTCCGAGGGGGCAATCGGCGTGCACTGTGCTGGGAGGTTACAACGGCACCATCTTCGCTTATGGACAGACCTCTTCTGGAAAGACCCACACCATGGAGGTGCACTTATGTTTTAGATTAAATATTGCTTATGCTTTTAACACGTTCGCATTCTTGCGCTTCATTTCCTGTAAATGACCAATGCATCGGACAACCGATGGCATCCGTGCACACTGTACCTGTACTAAAATGAGCATCAAATATTATTGGCCAGTTTCCCTGTAAGCACTGTGAGCCTGGAGCACAAAAGCAGTCTTAAGTCGCTGGGGTATATTTGTAGCAATAGCCAACAATACATTGTATGGATCAAAATTATACATTTTTCTTTTATGCCAAAAATCATTAGGATATTAAGTAAAGATCATGTTCCATGAAGATATTTTGTAAATGTCCTACTGTAAATATATAAAAACTTAATTTTTGATTAGTAATATGCATTGCTAAGAACTTCATTTGGACAACTTTAAAGATGATTTTCTCAATATTTAGATTTTTTTGCACCCTCAGATTCCAGATTTTCAAATAGTTGTATCTCAGCCAAATATTGTCCTATAACCATGACAAACCATGCATCAATGGAGAGCTTATTTATTCAGCTTTCAGATGATGCATACATCTCAATTTCAAAAAATTGACACTTATGACTGGTTTTGTGGTCACAAATCACAAGATAACGCATGCGTTCTATCGAAATGTAACACCTATTCGAGTCTGTATTCAGTGTCTGCTTTACCTTGTGCGGTTTAAGGTTTTCAAAGATGGAACTGAACTTGTCTTTCTGTCTAATTTGGCTACTTTCTAGCATAATTTATCTAATAAATAATAAACTATAATAAGATATAATAAAAAATCTGAATATATTTTGCTATCCTGACTATCGCATGACTCGTTGGTTTATTTGGAAGCACTGCCGCACAGCTCGATTAGACCAGGATGAATTTTAATTGTTAAACGCACTTTCAGGGCAACCTCCACAACCCGCAGCAGATGGGCATCATTCCCCGCATCGCAGAGGACATCTTCAACCACATCTTCTCCATGGACGAGAACCTGGAGTTCCACATCAAGGTACGCAAAGGCCAAAACCAGTGGCACATCCATCATCTAGTCATCTGTCCAGTGTGTGGTGCTCTGAAAATCAGTCTTTGACTTTCCCAGGTGTCCTACTTTGAGATCTACATGGAGAAAATCCGGGATCTTCTGGACGGTTTGTGGAAAACAGTAATAGTACCGAATTCACTACAGTGGTTTTTATGTTCCTCATTGTGTTTCTCTCCTCTTTAGTAACGAAGACCAACCTGTCTGTGCATGAGGACAAGAACCGCGTCCCTTACGTGAAGGTGCTTTTTCACAACCACCAGCAGCGTATTTTGTGTGAATGTGAATAAATCTGAATAAATGTTTTGTGTTTGTGTGGCGTCAGGGCTGCACCGAGCGCTTCGTGTCCAGTCCTGAAGAGGTCATGGACGTCATCGACGAGGGAAAATCTAACCGGCACGTCGCTGTCACCAGTGAGTGCTTTTGTCATTGTTCTCAAATCCAGCTGAACTTCATTTACTCACAACAGTTCAGGTTAAGTGTTTAACAGTCATTTATAATCACAATAACATGGTGTAAACCATCACAGTCATGCAGGGTTTCCGCGGGTGGGTCCTTAAAAAGTCTTACATTTAGTTTTATCAAATTTAAAGCCAGAAAAAGTCTTAGATGGTACAAGAAAGTCTTAATTACGATTTCGAGAGGCCTTAAATTTGGGGATGGAAAAAACAGAATTGCCATATGACTTAGTGTGACGATTAAACTTCAAAAGTTTACGATTTCATTAAATATGAGCGCTGCACGTTTCAGAGTCAGCTGCTGCTGCTATGTGTTCTGCTGTTACCGGGGAAACCGCTATATTTCTGCCATTCCGAAAGCGCCTCCTGCTGGCAGAGAGTGAATTAGCATTTTCAACAAGTCTGTCTGCTGGTTTTGTTCAGAACGATGTGAAAATCAACACGTTTTTACGCAGCAAACACGAAGAGTTGTAAATGTTAACTGGTGGATCGACAAGAAGATAATGCATTATAAATATCTAAACAATTAAGACATACATTACATTTGTATTATTATTTAATTAATGTAATGATTAATAATAATTGTTTCAATTAATATAATAATTGATTCAAAAAAATTATATAAAACTTTTTGTTTTGTAAAAACCTGTAAGTCATGCTTTTTACAGTCATTTTACAGTTTAATATGTTACCATAGTCATTGCCCTACCACACTCATATGATATTTTATTTGTGCAGGTCTTAAAAAATGTCTTAAGTCTTACATTTGAGCTTAAAAATCCTGCAGATACTGAGTTTAAGATTACTTAGGGGAGCTGTTTTGGTCCCTTAAATTTATCAAGGTGAAATAGTTACTAAGGACTTTGTAGTAACGCTTAAGGGAACACTTAGATAATTAAGGGCAATACTTAATGACAGCCTTAAGGTTCCTTAAGTTGACCCTTAGGATTTTTCTTGCAACCCAAGTTTCACTAAGGGTTCCCTTAACCTTATAACTAAGGGATTTCTTAACTTAAGGACTTTCATGCAACCAGGCCCTGGTCATAAAGGAATACTTGACCTAAAAATGCTAACTTGCTGAAGATTTACTCACCCTCAGGCCATCCAAGATACAGATGAGTTTGTTTCTTCAGCAAAACAGATTTGGAGAAAGGTAGCATTACATCACTTGCTCACCAATGGATCCTCTGCAGTGAATGGGTGCCGTCAGAATGAGCTGATAAAAATATAAAAATAATCCACAAGTAATGTAAGTAATCAACAAGATACAGGTTTATAATAAACTAATTCAAAATTAAGACATTGTTAACTTCAAATTGTTGTCCTTTATCAATAATATTGCTTTCTCCAGTGAAAAAGTAATATCTTCTGAATCAGGAGAGAAATATGCACAGATCAAGCACCATTGTGAAAACAGTCCAGAATAGTTCTAAACAAATATTTCTGTGGATTTTGATGTGAACAGACAACAGGAGATGGACTTTTTCCACTGGAACAAGCATTGTTATGACTTATTAAGCTTCCAGCAAAATCGCGAAAAATATCGGCCTCTGATATATCGCATATTTGTCATGGGAGGAGGGTAGACAGCCAGTATTGAGCTCCACTGTCTAATTGAGCGTGATGTGAGGTGAAAGCGCAGACAGTTTGTTATCTTTACCGCTGCACGAGCGCAGGCATTGCCTCCTCTGCACATCAGACGTGTAAAAACGATTTCTCACCGAGATTGACATTAAATTTCATTCACCGTAAAATACATGGCAGCCATGTCAGAGACCGTGCCAACATTCACCTCTTCATGACAGGAGATAAGAGGGCTTTCGCTTGAATCTCATATTTAAGGCATTTGGTTTAGAGTATTTTTGTAAGTCTTCGCAGTTTACAGAGCTCTATTAAAAGGATTAGTCTGAAACGGTCTCCTCTATTTTTATGCCTGCTCAGGGTGGACCGACTCTGAGCTGCGATGGCGGTGTGTCAGATGGACTGGTCACACAGAATGACACTTTTCATGTGACAGTGTATGAAAGAACATGATGATGGGTCTTAAGTGGCTGTCAGGCGGATTGGCCTCACTGTCAGTACACGCGCATGTGGTTCCCTTTCATGGGAACTTCGGACTGCGTCCTCTAGGGGTCGCTATGGTTCACTTACTGATGCAACCTGTAAAATAAAACGATATATATAATACATCATTATATAATAAAATACTATCTAATAAAAAAATTCACAAGCACTTTACAAAAAAATAATGAGGGTAAAAATTTAATAAAAATAAATTATTATTATTATTATAAATATACATATATGTAATAAAATTACATATATAATAAAAAAATACAATTTTAAATCATATTTAATGCTGTATAGTAATATGTTTTACATTGCAGTCAGTATTTTTCCTCATTATTTTTTACACCTAAAATGATTAAAAATAGTTTATTGTTTAATTATATTTTACATTTTTTAACTATTTGCATAACTTAAAAATGATTTAAAATTATTTAAATGAGCCAAACTTGAATTTAAATTTATTTAAATTATGCGTGTTATAGATTTTGACATTTGCTTAATTGTTGGTCTTTTATTTTGATAATGTCTAGTGTCTTTTATTTTGCATGACTTTGCCTTTTTTCGGTGTTGGTTTTCCTGCTCTTGCTCTGAGCACCTGTTACAGTTATTGGTGTAGTCAGGTGAAGTTTTACATTTCATCTGTAAAAGCTAAAGTTACATCATGGCCCCATGTAAAACTGTTCTGTCTGAATATAGGGCTGTAACTGTCTGTCCAAAACTTGTGAACTTAAACACTATATGCAATTTGCTGCAATGCCTTCAGTTATTCTGAAAACAATTGATACTAATGATACTGCTGGCACTCTGCATGATGCTTAATTAAGTAACCAGAAGTAAATTTATGTTGAATATTGTCATTTTGCATGACAGTTTGAACCTGCAGCATTTGAACTATCTGCTGTGAATAAATAACATGTTTTAACGCAATAATTCACAATTCTGTTTGTGTTGCTTTGAGATCCACGAGTGGGTGACCACAAGCACATCCACATCCAATTTGAAATGTCGCCTCTATAAAACATGAACAGTAATAGTCAGAATAAATGGCAAACCCTGAGAGTGTAGGATGTAAATAACAGCCTGGTTTCACGTCTGGTTCTTGTATTGAATGTCGTTTGAAAAATGGCTGTCACTCCACATGCAGTGTAAGACTGTGATGGGTCATGACTCATGACATGAGATGTTCTCTCAAGAAGCATTAGGAGGACATGTGTTTTCATTTGCCATTTACTGTTTATTATATGTGTTTGTTCAACTATCTGCACTTTTATGTCCCCCGGGTTGACTTTTATTAAAACTGATTTCATTTTTCTGCCTTTAATTTATAGATTGTTCATCCTTTATCCAAAATGCAGATTTTCTATCTTTTTTTTTTAATGCTTTTTAATTTTTGAACACTGATTCTCACAAGCTTTTTAAATTTATGTGTGAAAATTAAAAATATTTTCAAAAATATTTTTTTATATAAATTAAAAATTAAATGATGATCATCTAAACAAAAATAAACTATTTCAATATTTATTGATTTCATTTTTTATTTTATTTTTATTTTTTTATTTTTTTACACAAATCATGTCATGTTCATGTCAGTTAGTAAATCATATTTGGCTACCAAGGAAACAACAGTGTCATTAAGGAGCACACTTGAGATGTCCTATGAGAAAACTATCTGTAAATATCATTTGTGAACAGAATATTTTTCATGTGTATAGTTTCCAATCAACTGTAATTTTATCAAATTATGCAAAAAGTGTACATAAACATGCTAGCCATGAAATTAACCTTTGGAAGACAAAGTATCTGGCCATTTTATTACAAAACAAACAAACAGACAAATAAATAAATATTAAACTGTCATTGCAAGTCACTGGCACTGCAAGATGGAAGTCACTCATACCATCCTGAAAGATTTCTAAATGTACCACAGTAAAAATAAAATGTAATAAATTATTGAGGGGTAAAAAATAAAAATAAGATGATTTATGCATTTCTTTGTGTTTTTGGCTTATTTATAATGGAACACTTCTTTTTAATAATTTTTAACAATAATTTTTAATAAATCCAGGTCTGAGAACCTTAGGGACCTTTATATTCACCTTGTCATATTTATTCATGATGATAAATAAGATGATATTACGTTTCATTTTAAGTCCTCTGTCCCAAGGATAAGTTTCCATCGTCACTATTCCAGCCCTGACACTGTAATATACAGTAGTTGGCTGAACATCTCAATATTATAATATTATAATTATCTCTAGGTTCAGATTATTTTTCTTTGGTGATATTTCATTCCAGTATTAAACAGAATAAGAAAGTCTTTCAGCTGAATCACTCATAATATCATGGGATCTAGTTGCCTAGTTATTGACTGAAATGCCTACAATACATTAACCATTCCCCCAGTACAGTCAGCTGCTGTTATGTCATTTATAGCATACATAAGGTCAATAATTAAACATGGATTATTTCAAATCCCGTTTTTGTGGTTTTACAACTGGGCTGCTGTGAACAGGAGGCAGAACTATATCTGTATCGAGGCAGTTTAGCATGAATAGGCTGTCTCACAAACAAACAGACCATTTCAGAATCAAAGGAATGCAAATGAAGTAGAGTAAATCGCTAGATAGGGAAAGCCACGTTAACTTTTGATCATTTTGTACCATATCAAAGCACACCAGATCAGCTTCAGCGCCAGCTCCATAAAGTGTTTGCACCTGTCCTCTTTCAGTTCTTTTGATTCATTTTTCACCACAGCTCTGCAACTTAAAGCGAGTAAAAGCCTCGAGGTTTGCTTTCATTGCTATTCACGTCTGCCCATTCCCTGTAAACCAGCTCTGCATTTAGGAACGTTACACTGCACTGCTCATCACGCAGAAGTCAATTTTGTGCTATCACAATGAAAAATCACAAGCCATGGGTGAAAAGAAAGGAGAGGCAGCTCTTTAAATAAAGCCAAACGACAGCCTCATAAAGTGGGGGAGACATTCCCGATAGGAGAAGTAAACATGTCGCGCTGTCTGTGGTGAGAGCGGCAGCATGTCAGCCTGTCAGCTGTTATGCCTGTGGACACTTTTCAGAAAGTCAGAAGTGTGGCCTTATCTAAAGGTGTCTGTCTAGTGGGATTAAAAAGGTCTATTAGAGGTTATCCATTCAAGACACATTAGCATGGAACATGCATACGAATCACAGTGTCACTAACAGCCTAGTATAAACTCCAACCTAGTTTGAATTAAATACAGTTTGAATTAAAAGCTCAACAGAGGCCCAATTTCTTATTCCAATATCATATCATATCATATCATATCATATCATATCATATCATATCATATCATATCATATCATAGTTCTAAAAAACACCTGTAAATATTTTGACAACTTTCTATTCTTTTTCCACGCCCCTGATGAACCCCATTATGGTAAAAATATACTACTCTTATTATTATATTTTTTTTTGCAGTGCAACGATTTTTTTTTTAATCGTTCATCAGCTGGAGAAAAATCGTTTTGAAAGTGATTCCAACGATATCGTTTCTCTTTGTCTTTATCGTTATAGTTGTGGTGTGGACTCTGCTATTCTTTAATATTGAGAACGATTTTTAGAACTATATCTTTATCGTTATCTTTATAGTTATCTTTCTTGGTGTGAACGGGGCTTAATATGCTAGTATGCGATTCCAAATTCAGCAACAGCCATCAGCGCATGGCGTTCTAGCGACGCAAGATCTACTTTGTGCGTCGTTGTGTTGCAAAATACGTAACCACGCATTTCATATCCGAACCGAACGCAAGTAAATTGCCTATGTTTGTTCGGTTTTAAGTGGAATTCGGGTTTATTTATTATAATGAGAATGTGATTTACTTACTCTCATGTAGTTCCAACAGCATGAATGTCATTCTTCTATTGAACACTAAAGGTGACACAAAAGAATATCAATACTGTAATGAAAGCGAATAAAGATCGAGCCGAGTTATGCAAAAGCACCATAAAAGTTTAATGAATGCAGTCCATATATATGACCAATACGATAGCTTTGTTTGGCGAAAAGTCTGAAATTTGCCATTATTCCCTTCCACTCCTATGAGCAGTGAAGCTGTGACAGAATCATTAAAAAGATTTGGATAAAAAGAATGATTCGTTTATGAATCGGACATCGGTTGCTTCTCTCATTAATCATGAATGTTCTTTTGGGTGTGTCTTTTTTGGGGCCTGAGAGCCTCTGTCCTCATTCATTTTCATTCATTTTTAACTTTCATTGATTTTATTCTTGATATTATTATAAAAATCATTGAGTTGAATTCGAGAAGCAGTTCAGTTTGGTTCTTTAATGAATCATTCAGACTGGTTTTATTGGACATCTACTTTTCCCATTAATCATAAATGTGCTGATGTGCCTTTTTTTGGAGATTTTCCTCCTTTCTCCACATTCATTATATTGATGTCATGCTTGATATTATTTCTTGATATTATTTTAGAACAAACTGGGTAAAATAATACCTGCTTTGTTTCAAGGGCTTACTGTGTTTTATTCAGTTTTCTCCTCTGCACATAAGGCCATTTGATGCGAGTGTAATAAAGAGCTTGACTTGTTGCCAGACAACAGTACTCTAACTGCTAACAGTGCAAGCATTAAGCATTATTGTAAATTAACTGATATGGCATGAATAGAGCTAAGAATAGTAGAAGCCATCTATTTAGCATTCACTCGGTTACAGAGGAATAGTGATGCACCTTCCGTCATGCACATGTTGCTTTGTGCTGATATGCAGTGCAGTGAGGTGTGTAGCATATGCTCATTGAGGTGGAAAATACATATTAGCCATGTAAAACATATAAATGCAAGCACACAGACCTTACAGCTGTTTTATTAATGAGTTTGTGCTAATGTATGGCACTTCCTGTTTGTCTTGTCCTGACGGTGTTGAACACTTTGGAACCGGAATTTATTTGACCTTTTGTTAATGAAGAATGTAGTTTCAATGAGGTTATCAAACAAAACGTCAAAGATCAATTGCTTATTCATGCTGTCCATGAATCAAAAGATGAGTTTGTTATGTGGATTATCTCATTTGAAAGGGAAATAATTTCAAATGACCTGCTTGTAACGCAATCATTGCCAGTAGATCAAGGGCAAGGACTGTTAACATTCTGTAATGCTGTCAAAGAAAATGCCATTATATGATGGATAGGTCAATTAGGGAGGGAATCTGTATGCAAGATGTGTCAATAGAAAGGAAGTCTTATCTGAATATATCCTCAGAGAGGTGGGCTATTAAGTCTATTTTGAATTACTCTGAGGATGTGTGAGATTTCTGCTGACTTGCAGGAGGGATTCTTGGTGATGCTTATTGAATAAGCTCAGCAGCGTCAGCATTATTCAATAACTTTGTGTTGTAGTGGGTTTTCAACCTTTACAGACCTAGTGACCCCTACCCGGTATAAAAAACTCGTTTCTTTTGTAACAGTTTATAATAACTTTTACTGAGAGCGTTAGAAGCAGAGTGTGCCATTTCTGTACCTGCACCAAACAGAAGTGCAAAAATAATAATGACTGGTTTCCTGAACATTCCCCTGGTCTGACATAAACAACTCACTCCATTAGTTGAACCAGCGCAATCTAATTTTAGTATTATTTATATACTATTGTAGTTTTATTCATATTTTGAAATGGCTTTTATCTTTTATACAAAAAAATATTTTAATTCATTCATTTTTATATTTTTTTTCTTAGAAATTTGTTATTTTTTTATTAGTATTGTTTTAATTAAAAAATAAATAACTAAAAATACCTTTAACATCACAACATGGTAGAATGTCTAAATTAATATATATACATATATATATATATATATATATATATATCCTTTCAAAAGACTGGGCTCGGTCAGATTTTTTCATGTTTTTGAAAGAAACATTTCTTATTATCAATCCTGAGAATAGTTGTGCTGATTAATACTTTTGTTGAAACCATGTGAAAGCAGTAAAGCTTTCACTTCTCTTGCGCTGGTCAAGCCAAGAACCAGAAGGGCAAGACCTTGTGTCACACATCTTGGTCAGAGAGAAAGAGTGAGAGAGACCCATTTCTCATTGCTTGCCCGATGGCTATTGCAGAGTGAAGCAGGCATGTGACATTAAAGAGAAATGAAAGGCCAAAATACTGTCAATAAGAATTTAAAAATAATTTTTTGCCTCTGCTGATTCAGTTACATTTCTCTCGCTCTCACTGCAATTTTTATCCTTTATGCACACATATAGTTTCACTCACTGTTTCTATTTGGATAAAAGAATGTTATAGCATTTAAATAATCAAATGCTGTTGCGTTTCCACATTTACCTCCCAAATTTGAATGTACAATTTCACTAATTGTGAATCTCTGTCATTAAACTTTTACAACTGGTTTTCAGTTACGGATTATATGGCATTACCTGATAGGCTCTGTCGTTCCTTTTTAGAAGCCCACAGGCCATCGTTATTTGCATGCCTGCTTATTTTGAGCAGGTGCAAAGATGCCATATGGCTTCCATAGAAACTCCCTCAAAGACGAAACAAACATGGACTAATTTTCATTTCCTCAGCTTATTGTGCACACCATAAATCAGCCTAATGTTTTTTGAGCTGTATGATTAAGGTTCTTTCAAACCATCTAAAAAACCGCAATGTTTAGAAAGCTTCATCTAGCAGCTGATGACAAGTGAAGTGCAAACTGTGAATGATACAGTTTAGTTGAAAATGGAAAATCAGCTGAGTGAGAATGGGAACCAAGTGCATGGCAGGTGATGTGAACAGCAGCAGGTGTTGAGCTGCATGCAGTGCACACATCCCCGCTACAGGAAGCCCCTTACCTCAGATACCAGATGAGCAGAGAGAGAGGTTTTTATTTCTTTATGAGTCACTTTTACATGGCCAATAAAATGTTGCTATTTTCCTTTTTTGAGTCATTCAAATTATTTTTGGCAAAGATATTTAAAGGAATAGTCCACCCAATAATGAAACTTTGCTGAAAACCCTCAGGCCGCCCAAGATGTAGAGGAGTTTGTTTCTTCCTCGGAAAAGATTTGGAGAAATTTAGCATTACATCACTTGTTCACCAATGGATCCTCTGCAGTGAATGGGTGCCGTCAGAAATGAGAGTCCAAACAGCTGATAAAAACATTGCAATCACCCACAAATAATCCACACAACTCCAGTCCAACATCTTGTTAAGTGAAAAGCTGCATGTTTGTAACAAACAAATCCATCATTTTAACTTCAGACTGTTGCTCCCAATATTGCTTTCTCCGGTGAAAAAGTAATCTCGTCGGAATCAGGAGAGAAATATGGACAGATCAAGCACTGTTTACAAACAAAAACAGTCCAAAAACAGTTCTAAACCAATATGTTGGTGTATTTTAATGTGAAAAGACAACAGGGGATGAACTTTTCACTGGAGGAAGTGTTATTATGGATTATGCGAAGGTATTTTGACAGTTTAAAGTTAAAATGCCTTAATGAATAATTTGTTTATTAAAACACACAGTCATGTGGATTACTGTGATGCTTCTTTCAGCTGTTTGGACTCATTCTGACGGCACCCATTCACTGCAGAGGATTCATTGGTGAGCAAGTGATGTAGGGCTAAATTTCTCAAAATCTGTTCCCATAAAGAAACAAACAAATCTATATCTCAGATGAGTACATTTGACATTTTTTAGTTGAACTGTTCCTTTAAAGTAAAATAATCCTAATAGTACACTATTCCTTTAAAAAAAATGTGTGTGCCTGGATTGTTGTCACTCTGAAAGGCCTGTTGAGCAAACAGAAGATGGCCTACAGTTTGTTCAAGAAACTTTGAGCGATTAAAACTGGGTGTAGTGGTAGAACTGGTTACATTTGTCAGACCCTTTTCTATTTACTTTTCCTTGAATACTATGCCTCCCATAATGCAGAGCCTCTTCAACATCCTTCATGCACTTCCTCATGTTTTTGGGAGAAACAGCCAGCTGTTATGATGAAGTGACAAGATTGAAATCCCCTGAAATTTGTGTGCGAGAACTCCTGCTGCAGGTAATGTGACTGCACGTCCCATGTGCTTTTATAGTAATATGTCCTGCATGACACCTGCTGTTTTCCACAAAACCTTCCTCTCATTTTTGCTGCTCTTCCTTATCCATCTTTTAGTGTACGCAAAATGAAATCCATTCAGCCGAGAATACGGCACAGTCGTATTTTTGTCTAATTTTACAGTTAAAGTAATTAATTCTCCTTAAAACAGGACAGCTTTACTTGAAAAGCAACTCTGCATAAAATATTAAGACTTGTTTTCAGAAAATGTGTCTGTAATACAAATGTATTTTGTCTTACTGTACTGGCAGATTTTTTTCAGTTACATAAACAAGTGAAAAAGACAAAAAACATTTATCAGGGGTGCCGCTATGGGTTCTGGTCCCCCTGAACAGCATATTGACTCGGGCCCCTGCGTTCTGGGACCAAGAGTGTTGACATAACATTCAAACAGTGCTTGGTCTTCTGACCATAAGTCCCCATTCCCCAGACTAAATTGCCTAAAATGTACGGGTTTTGGCATTGTTTTCATATTGTTTACATACTTGCTGAAGGTAATGACTGAAAAGTTTGACCAATAGCGTGCAGGCTTTGTACTAAATTGACCAAATCGTGGTGTGTGAGAATCTACAGAGAATTGTCAAAGTCATGCAAATACGTATCCATATAATGTATAAAGACTGTAGAGAGCAAGTCAATAAGAAAACAAAGCCTGGACATTTTAGCCAATTTTGAAACCCTGTCCACTATTGGCGCTTTTCCACTGCGTGGTACGACTCGGCTCGGTACGGCTCAGTACGGCACGGCACGGCACGG